CGCTGGAAAGCCACTCCCCGATTCCTGTGAAGGACTGGCTGCTACGGCCATCGGCCATCGCATCGGATTCCAAGGATGTCTGCTAGAAAATCCCAGCGCTCTCAGCCAGAACTTTCAAAATCTTTAGTTGCCATGAAAAAAAAAAAAAAGATATTTTCTGTAAATTGGAACCGAACAATAAAAGAAGGTTTTTGATGCGAAAAGCTCCTTAATCTGGTTATAACATACAAAACTACTGAAGAACCTGGTAAAGAAATTCTGAGTGATCGATCTATATGTAAGTGATTTCTGTCAAATTTATACTTCGAAAAACCGGGCCGAAATAAAAACAATTTGGGGGTTTTAAAAGGCAACGTGCACAATGTGTCCTTTGTTAACAGCAGATTTTATTCAGGCAGCTGCCACAGTCATGTGCAGAAATAAAATCGCCCTTATGACGCTAAGGGTCAAGTTGCATTTCAATACTAGGAATGAGCCCTAAGAGATGTTAATTGGGTTCAGTTGACAGACCGCTCTGGATACACTGTGTCCAGACTGCGGAGTCAGTGTGAACCGTGTATTAAGGAAATAGGTCAAGCAGGAGCCCTTCTCAGAACTGAAACACTATGAATCACATTTTCACAAAATCAACTTTCCGGGTACAAAAGTAGATACATGAGTGGCATCTGATGAAAATTACCCAGCTTGTATTACTGGTGACCACATCAGACATTAGATGCTGGCTTTACCGTTACTTACAAGTATCACCCGTGTGAACTTTTATGAATCGCCTTTATTAAATGTCCAGAGAAACTACATACATAGAGAAGTGTACACACACTCACCATCTTCATGCTAAACGCTGAGAGAAGTAATTTTGGCTTCGCTGACAGAAGCCCATGTTCCCAAGGAGTAAATAACAAGTTTGTGAAAGAACAAGCCATTAGACTATAGAGAAGGAAGGAGGTCCCTTTCCTTCAGCTTTATTGAGATGGAGTTGACATCTAACATTGTAGAAGTTTACTGTGTACCCTCTGATGGTTTGATACACATATAAATTGTGAAGTGATTGCCACACAGGTGGTTAACATGCCCCTCACATCACATAGTTGTCATTTTGTTGTGGTGGTGGTGAGAACATAGAAGGTCTACTCTCTTAGTAACTTCTGAGTATACTATACGCCATGGTTAACTATACAGCACCATTAACTGGAGTGATGCTTTACATCAGATCCTCAGGACTCGCTGGCCGTACTCCTGCAAGTGCATGCTCTTTGGCCACATCTCCTCCTTTCCCTCCCCTCCCAGCCCCTGGCAACTCCCAATCTCTATCCGGCTTTTTCAGCAGCTTGTTTAGATCTCACATAGAAGTGAGGTCACACAGTATTTGTCTTTCTCTGACTTATTTCACTTAGCGTACTGCCCTTAAGGTTCATCCACATTGTCACAAATAGCAGAATTTCCTTCTGTTTTTATGACTAAATACTATTCCGTTATATGTATGTGCCATTTGATTCATTTGTCCACTGGGTCGGATGCTGAGGCTGTTTCCATGTCTTGGCTATTGTGATTAACGCCGCAATGAACACACTGGTGCAGGCTTGCCTTTGCAACGTAAATACACTTCCTTCGGGCGTGTGCCCAGACGGGGGCTGCTGGGTCACATGGGGCTCTTTTCAACTCTGTAGGAACCTCCCTCCTGTCTTCCAGGTGGCTGCTCCAATTTACATTCCCACCAACAGTACACAAAGGTTCCATTTGCAAGGGGCTCCTTTTTTAATTTAAAAGCTTCACAATGGCATCACGAAGAGAGAATGGTCCATTATTTGATTTACCTTTTGAGAGTGAACTTAATGATCTTTTAACAAAGCGATTAAAGCCCCACAGAGAGAAGCCTGGCTCGGTCTGAGACTGAGCACAAAGCGCCAGCAGTATGCGAGATGGACAGAGTAACCACGGAGGCGCGAACATCCTGACCCCACACGGCTCTTGTGCGCTTCCCTGCCTCCAAAGTCCCTCTCATACAGCACCGTATTCTGTCCTTCAAATACAGTGGTTTTGAATTTTTCAGTGTTACAAACACAAGTACTACCCAGTACCAGACACCAAGAATCACTGGAAGGGACATATCAAATCAAAGAAATTAGAGGAACAAATAGGTTAATTTCACACCTCTGTGATGAATAGGGACCAGAATACAATTACACAATAGAAACTGCAGTGAAAAAATATCAGAAAGTATCCTTTCTGCTGTCGATTAAATCACTTTGAAAGAGTCGAGTCACCGGCCAAACAAACACATGGCAATAATACGAAAGAAACAGGAATGACTCTCTGCCCCCACTTCTGAACACCAACTAGAATACTGGTACCACTTCGGGCGTGGGGGCTGGAGCACAGGGCAGGGATGCTGACTGCACCACCTGGCGACTCTAGGTCACCAGCGGAGTGTTCTACAATTCACCTGGAGGCTGGCGTTACCCACCTGGGCAGAGCGCCAGAGCCCGCAGGGGAAGGGCTCAGTTCTACAACAGTGCTCGCCCGCTTCCCCCACTTCAGGCGCCATTCACAAGCCCAGGCAGTCACCCCACTTCGGGCCAACCGGCGACAGGGAGGTTCCCACGACCCCCTCCTGCCTCGGGTTCCATGAATTTGCTAGAGGGGCTCCCCGAACTCAGAAACAGTTTACCTATGAGATTACAGGTTTGTTACAAAAGAGGTAACTCAGGAACATCCGATGGAAGAGAAGCACGGGGCAAGTTGTGGGGAATGAGTGCGAACCTTCCACGCCCTCCCCAAGCGCGCTGCTCCCCGCAGAGCTCAGGGCGTCCACCAACCTGGGAGCTCTCCAAACACGGTCCTTTTGGGCTTTTATAGAGGCTTCAGTACACAGGCACCAGTGATCAAATCATTGGCCATCGATGGCTGATTCAACCTCCAGCCCCTCCTCCCTCCCCAGGGAAAGGGGGCGGGACTGAAAGTTCCAAACCTCAAATCACAAGGTTAATTCCCCAGCCAACCAACCCTTCTCCCCCTCCCCCTATTCCACACCCTTCCTCCCCACGGTCCATGGGTGTTGTGGAAAGGCTAACTCATTAACATGACAAAAGACACCTTTCTCTCAACAATTAGGAAACTGGGAAGGTTTTAGGAACACTGTGCTTGAAACTTGGGGACCAAGACGAAATCCATATTCTTATTATATAAATCACAATATCGCAAACACAACAAATCCCTCAGATTGCGGTACAGACTCTTTAGGGCTGGAAGGGATATTTGAAACGACTGTCTCTCTTACCTCCTCAGTCAGCAGATGAGGAAAACTGAGGCCCAGAGAGAAGTGAACTTGGCAAGATCATCAGCTGCGGGAAGGCTGGGACCAGGATGGAAGATGACTTGCACCTGAATATACATCCAGGCAATTCTGAAGTGAATGAGACCCTTCCTTGGAAAGGTTATTTCCATGATCGCCCCTTCTCTGGGGCACACGAGCCCTTTCCCAAATTAGTGAAATATTATAAATGTAAACCAAAGGCAAATTATAAGGGCTACTCACTCCCTGACCAAAGCCAGTGCCGGCAAAGGGAGTCCCTTGGTCCTATGCTCGCTAACAGTTTTTTCCAAGTCATCATCAAACACTCAAATAGCTTCTAAAGAGGCAACCTGTGGCTCTGTTAGACGGGCTTGGACAGCGAGGCCTCCAGGAAAGCAGGCACCGATACCTTCACCGGTCAAGGTCAAAGTAAGTACCAGCAAATCTGAAGGACTACTCACCAAAGCACACAAAGTGCTTTTTAAAATTCCTTTGAAATCACACTACCTCGCTGGTCGAATCTGCCCCCTTCCCCAAATTAGAGAGCAAGGTCAATCTCTACACTTGCACAGAAAGCTAACACACTTAACCCAAGGAGCTCCGGTGTGCCTGCAATGAGCAGGACTGGGACCTGAGCCCCGTGCTGCTAGGCCTGGGGTGGGTGCAGGCCTGGGGCGGCCCTCATCGCACAAGGCAGCCATGGTCACCAAGCTTTCAAACTGCTCTCTCTCCGGTCCTGTTCTCATCAACAGCCTCTGGTCTTAATCTGATTTCCCAAACAGACACCCCTGCTTAAAATAACCAACCTAGAGAAACCTGACAACCACTGCTTTGGCCAGGTGGTCAGGCTTAACATTGTAAGTGACAGACCACGCCAATGGGAGGCACCCTTGACGTGAAGTGATGAACGTGGCACTTTACCCCTGTGGGCTTCTACCCAAAACCCATAACCCCAGAGTCATCACAAGAAAAACACCGAGTTCTGGGGGCACCTGGGGGGCTCAGCTGGTTAAGCGTCTGACTTCGGCTCAGGTTATGACCTCACGGTTCATGGGTTCGAGCCCCGCATCGAGCTCTGTGCTGACAGCTCAGAGCCCGGAGCCTGTTTCAGGTTCTGTGTCTCCCTGTCTCTCTGACCCTCCCCTGCTCATGCTGTCTGTCTGTCTCTCTCTCTCTCAGAAATAAATAAAACATTTAAAAAAATTAAAAAAAAACAAGTTCTAATAAAGGGACATTCTACACTATACTTGATGAGGACTCTCGTAACTATGAAGGTCAACAAAAATAAGAAATGTCTGAGAAACGGTCCCAGCCGAGAGGAGCGGAAGGAGACATGACCATGAAACACACTGAGGAATCCTGGATGGGATTCTAGAACCAAAAACAGGACATCAGGCAAAAACTAGGGAAATCCTCACGCAGTGTGGACGTTGAGTTAATAAGAAAATATTGATTATTGTCTCATTAATCATCACAAATACATCATGGTTATGTAATAATGTTAACAGAGGAAAGGTGGGGTGTACTATCTGTATACGGGAACTCTGTACGATCTTCTTAATTGTTCTGTAAATCTCAACTGTTCTAAAAAAATAAAGTCTATTTTAAAGAAGGAGAGAACCAACTGCTGTATCTGAACCCACTGGACATCTAGGAGGCTCAGTCGCCTGCCCTCCGTTAGCCATGACATTGAAAACAAGTTCCCTACCTTTCACTGAGGCTTCTCCACAACTGTGCACCTGCAACGAAAAGAGGCAAAGAGTGAAATGTTAACGTAGGTGATTTTCCCATAAAGCATTTCTCAACTTAGAAATATTCCGAGCTAGGGGCGCCTGGGTGGCTCAGTCAGTTAAGCGTCCAACTCACGGCTCGTGAATTCAAGCCCCACGTCGGGCTCTGGGCTGACAGCTCAGAGCCTGGAGCCTGCTTCAGATTCTGTGTCTCCCTCTCTCTCTCTCTCTGCCCCTCCCCTGCTCATACTCTGTCTCTCTCAAAAATAAACATTAAAAAGTATTTAAAAAATAAAATAAATAAAATGCTTAGATTTTTCAACTCTAGAAAGTAGCAAACCATTAGTGTACCCCTCCGGTAACAGAATTAATTCACACAGTTTGTCCATGAATCAGACCTGCTATTTGTAAAACACATGGATAGGCGCCATGGGAGACGGAGCCCTGTATCACACATGGTCCTGCCTCGGGGACTGGACTGTTCAGAGGGGCGGACCCAGCACGCGCGGAGGTGATGTGTGAAGAGAGAGAGTACGCGTGCTCCAGAAGGTCCCAATAACAGAGATGGCAGTTAGGGTGGGCTTTGAAATGGAACTGAGAAAAGGAGAATTGAGACAACGGTGATTTGAGAAAGGAGGTTTTTATCTATTCATTCTTCAGGTGTTTTCAGCTTCTATTGAGGCTCAAGTGAAATCAACAGAAAAAAATGCATACTTGGATCTCATTTGCTTTCTTGACTGGCTTGCTTTCTTCATTGCACTGTATCTTAATATTATACATCCAGCTACCAGCTTTAATGAAATGTAGTATCAGAAAATAGCCATAAGGTGGTTTCTGCACTTTTCCATCAAACAAATGCCAAAGATGTTGTCTTTTTTGTTCTTCAGTATCCCCTATCAAAGGTCTCTGGAGGGGCGCCTGGCTGGCTCAATCGGTTAAGAGTCAGTAACTCTTGATCTCAGCTCAGGTCTTGGTTTTAAGGTTGTGCGTTCAAGTCCCACATTGGGGACAAGAAAGAGAAGGAGAGAGGGAGGAGAAAAGAAAAAAAAAATCTATGTAATACATTCCTAAAATTTAGTCCCAGGGAAAAAAAAGTTTCTCAAAATTGCTTACATTCTTTCATCATACTATTAGAACTGTTCAGTGGATCTAGTTTCCCTTTTTGCCTTGGCTGCCAGTAAGCACGGGGTGAATCTGTTGCTTTATGAATTATGGTCACCATATTAGAATCTATTCCTCTACTTACACCTTTTAAAAATAGCTTTGTGTTGTATGCTCCTCATCAGCGGCCTCCAATACTCTGGGGTTAGACGGCACAGCAAACAAAGCAAAGACACAATGCCAAGGAACCCAAGGGCTTCTGCACACTAGTGACGTGTCTGCTGAAGCTGGAAGGTGGGAGAGGCGGAACTCTAGCTCTAACAACTCACCTTGTCATAGGACCTTGCTCTGGCAGCACTGGATCCAGGAGAGGAGGAAGTGGGGTGTTTGCTTATCTGGTTATTAAAAGCAGGGGGAATGAGTATGGTTGCTGGGCTGTGGGCACAAGGACAGCAGCCCTGCAGCCGGTGGGCACCGGGCAGGGGGGGGGGGAGGGCTGTACCGGGCTGAGGGCCAGGGTGCTGGGAAGAGGCTGAGCAGACGGCACTCACACTAAGGGCAAGACCCGGTTCGGCAGGAGTGAGGGGCTGGGGCTGGACAGGGGGTGTCCTGAGGGCTGGCTCTCAGCCTTTGCAGGGGCTGCAGACACAGTGCTCTGGCGGCTAAGGTCAAAGATGAGGCCACACACCTGGGTGGCGGAGTCCAGGGTACAGGATGCAAGGGCAGCGTGGAGCAGCCACACGCAATGCCTGGCCAGAAAACGGTGTGAATGGACAGTGCGGATTTCACAGGAGCAAAGGTATGAAGAGACAGAGGGTGAAAATGCCGCCCAGGGCCGCGTGGGGCGCTGCTGAGTCCCTCCCACCGCACAGGCCCCGCTTGATGCGGATGGAAAGTAACAGGTTCTTCTGCAAGGAGAGGGAAGAGGCGGATGGTCACGAAGCAGCCTGTGGCTGCAGAGGGATTTTCCACGCTGCAGAAGGGTCCCCCGGGGCCTGGACGAAGGGGTTCACGCAGGGAAGCGTGCACTCAAGGCACACGACAGGAGCGAGCGAGACCCCTCCCCCCCGCCTCGGAACAGAGACGTGGATTCTGGAAGGTTCCACAGAGATAAATTCCCATGACAGATCTCCATACTGTTGCTCACCTACTTCATATGAAGCATCACAGATGGTATTAGAGATAGAGGAGGGGTGTGGGGGGCGGTGGGGGGGTGAGGGGGATAGAACAAAGCTCCTAACAACATAAGTGTCAGGTCTTTGGCCAACACTGTCGTGGGAAGCAGGGACGCGGAGAGGGGACGGGAGGGAACTTCCCAGTTGCGGTCGTAAAGCCAACGTGTCCAGCGACAGCGGCTGGCGGCTCTGGGGGAAGCCATGGGGTTTCCATGCCGGCTTCTGGCTGGAACTGGAAGCTTCCGGAGACCATGCATCTCTGCGGGGCCGTGGGCTGAGAGGTGTGCGGGGTCGGGCCCCTGCCTGCTCTCTGAAGGGCCCAAACGGGTCTTTGTCTGCAAAGCCTCCACTGAAGGAGGCGGGAGCAGGCACTGGTGGTCCTTCGGTCACGGGCCCAGGAGCGCCAGGAAAGCGCTGTATCTAAGCCCGACCCTCTTCATTCTCCGGGAGAGATGCTGGAGGGATGATGCCGGATTCCCTGCGGGGCCACTCAGTCCATGAAAGCCTGGCCCGGACAGGTGCCTGCCTGCAGGTTGGGGCCTGAGAGCGGCTGGGCCGGGGCGGGGCCAGGGCGGGGTGGGGCCAGAGGGCCGGGGCGGGGCCAGAGAGAGGCCGGGGCGGGGCCGGAGGGGCCAGGGCGGGGCCGGAGGGCCAGGGGAGGGGCCGGGGCTGGGGGCGGGGCCTGAGGGGCGGGGCTGGGGCGGGATTGGGACGGGCCCTGGGCGGGGCCGCAGGGGCCGGGGCGGGGCCAGAGGCCACCGCAGGCCCCGCACAGAAAAGGTGCTCCACAAACCACCCGACGAGTGAGCACAGCGCACGCGGTTCAGATGCGGCGGCAGAGCTGAACAGTGTGGACGGCTACGAGGCCCGGGGCGCCCCTATTCTCTGCTCCTCGTCTCCCCTACGCAGCCGTGCGGCGGGGGTTTGGTTCCAGCCAGTGCACCGGATGGAGAAGCCCAGGTTGTGCAGCTGACAGGTGACAGCCCCCGAGATACCAGGTCTGTCCTCCGTGACCCCCGCGCAATGTTAGTTTCTACGGCAAGCGGGACGGCCGTGCGATCAGGATCGGGAGGAGGGGAGGCTGTCCTGGGCTGTGCAGGTGGCCCACTGCGCCCCCCCGAAGCCGCCAGGAGGCGGCGGCGGCAGGGAAGGCCTCCCTCGAGCCTCGGGAGGGGGCACAGCCCTGCCAGAACCCTGACGTTGGCGCCGGGACACGGATTTCGGACCAGCGGCCTCCAGAGCAGCGACGGGAGAGACCTCTGCTGTTTACGGTGGTTTGCTGCCGCAGCCCCGGGAAACTAACCCGGATCGGATGGGCCGCCGCCGCAGCTGGGAAGCCGAGTGAACCAGCCACGGACTGGACCCTGCAGGGCTGCAGATTCTTCCCACCGAATAGCTGACGTTTGCAAGGGCTGAGTCTCTGCGAGCGGAGGGGGCCTGCACTCTGTGAACACACGGGCACCGTGTGTGCAGGCACGTCAGGCCAACGGGTCAAGGCCAAGAGCCTCCTCCGGGCGAGCGGCCCCGAGTGAGGAAGAGCAGCGGCGAAGGCTTCCAGCTCCGCACGCGCCTGCCACACTGTCTGCTCCTGGTGACTTGTGCCCAGACGGGGACCAGACTGGATTCCAAACGGAAACGACTGAGATGCTCGGCTACAACGGCTGCTGATACAACGTCTAAGTGGTGATTTCTTCTAAGATTCCCCTGAGGACGGTCCTAGAGGGTGCAAGTGTTACGGGGTCTGCTGGAGAAAGGCGGGCTCTCCTCTGTCCACTAGGGACCAGGGCACAGGGGCACCTGGGTGGCTCAGTCGATGAAGCACCAACTCTTGATTTCAGCTCAGATTATGGTCTCACGGTTCATGAGATGGAGCCTAGTGTCAGGCTCTGAGCAGAGCGTGGAATCTGCTTGGGATTGTCTCTCCCCTTCTGCCCCTACCCCCAACCTGTGCTCTCTAAAAAAAAAAAAAAAAAAAATTTAAATTAAATGAAGAGTTTGAGTCAGGGCACAAACAGGGCATCGCCATGGGGTGACCTGACAGACCCTGCACAAAACCCACGACGTGAGATGCTCTACTTCTAGGCGGCCTTAATACCTCTGTGGTGAACAGAACACCACATTTACATTCACATTTCAGTACTCCAAGGAGGGACTTATGCTCATTCACAAAAACTATTCAGGCCCTAGTAGGAGGGCTTCTTCAGGTACAGAAAAGCTGGACTCGGGTTTAAAATATAGACAAATTACTCAGAAAACACTTAAGCAAATTTTGCAATTAATTCAAATTCTCACTTTTAAACAACTGGTTCACTTTTCATCATCATGAACTCAGGTGTTAAAATTTACTTAACTATTATTGTTCTGGTTTGTTTTCTTAAGTCATCTCTACCCCCACCATGGGGCTTGAACTCAAAACCCCAAGATCAGTAGTCACATGTTCTACTTACTGAGCCAGCCAGGCACCCCAACTGTTGCTTGTTTTTAAGCCCTGAATTGTTTTTCTTCATGGAGGTAGAGAAAGTTTTCATAGAAACGAGTCTGTTTTCCAGTACCCCAAGCTTCATCTTGTCGGACGTAATAAATATTTCACTGTTATCCTCACAGCAGCCTGCTTATGTGTCAAAATGGTATTTAAGTAGCACTTGGAGCCAAAGAGAAACCAGCACACAGAACCCTTTTGCCCAGGACCAGTAGCTATGACTAGGGACAGCATCTGTTAAGTACGCAATAAATATTTACTAAATAAATATTCAATAAACATTAAAAATAGCAAAGTCAATGCCTGCATAATGTTATTTTGTTCCCTTTTGTAATTCTTTTAAATTTATTTTAATAGAAAGAGAGAGGGAGGGAGGGGCAGAGGGGGAGAAGAGAGAGAATCCCAAGTAGGCTCTGCACTAAGACCCATGAACTGTGCGAACATGACCTGAGCCGAAATCAAGAGTGGACGCTTAACCAACTGAGCCACCTGGGCATCCCTGTTCCCTTTTAAAACTACTTGGTTAATATGCCTACACAAAGAACAGATATTTGGGGTCTAGCAAATTACAGACAATAAAACTGAAGTCTTAGTTTTCTTACCTCTAGTTCTAGACAAAACCATATCCTTTATTATTTGCATAATGACACGCCCAAGTATCATGACAGAAATCAGGTGATACACTCTCCACGGAGTCAGTGCAAGGAACCTGTAACAGCAAAAACAGACAAATCATGATTTCAGTTTGAGGATTTTCATCTCTCTTTTTTTTTTTTTTAATTAGGCTTAGTTCGTACCGTGGAAACAAAAATACAAATTTCAGTCTTCAGAATCACCCCAACGAGACCACATCAAAGCTATTCAATAGGCAACAAAGTCAGCAAAATAAAAGTGCCTGGACCACATACGTGGCTGTGCGAGGCTTTCTTTCCACTGTAACTTCTAATTTGAGCAGAGGGTTCGCTATGCTGGGTGTTACCTGAATGTAACTGGACTTGACCTGAAACCAAATCTTAGAAACGCAGGGCAACGGGGTTTTCCACAATGTGGAGGAGATACTGCCCTTCTCACTCATCTTCCATCCATATTCATTTATTTCACTACTCCCCACTCCCTCCAGTCTCCTGAAAACAGCCGTTGTTAAGGATCCAACGCACTAGCCCGTTCTCTTTAAGATCACCATCCTGTGGTCTATCTGACCAGGTCCTCTCCAAGAGGAAACAAAGAATTCTTTATCATAAACAGCACACAGACATTGCAGTACATTTTTATTTTTTTTAACGTTTATTTATCTTTGAGGTAGGGGGAGGGTCAGAGGGAGAGGGAGACACAGAACCTGAAGCAGGCTCCAGACTCTGAGCTGTCAGCACAGAGCCCGATGCGGGGCTCGAACCCACGAAGCGTGAGATCATGACCTGAGCCGAAGTCGGACACTTAACTGGGCCACCCAGGGGCCCCTGCAGTCTTTTTTTTTTTATGATTGGGCTTATCGAGGAATGGAATAAGCCTTCATACAGAGGTTGAAGACTGATTACAGATGAAGTGGCCACACTGCCAGTTAATATTAATTTTGGTATAATTATAATCATAGAAACATTACCTTAACAGATATGTCATTTAAAACTAGCTGCAAAGCACTATAGGCCTTATAGAGAAGGACATACTGTAAAGAAAGAATCCAGTCTTCCAGGAACTTCCTCATCACAGACGAACAAAGGCCAAGCCGAGCTAACAAAATCCGAGGCAATGAATCTTAGGTACTCAAATAAAACATGACTCAAGAACAAAGAGACGCAAAAGAAGAAGGAATGATTAACTCAATAATGAGGGAAGAGTTTATTGAAGTGGCCCTTGAACTTGGTCTGATAGGATGCATGCAACTGAGAGAAAAACAGAGGCTCTTCCAGTTGGAGGATACAATCCGTACAGGAGATCAGAGTCGGGGAGGGGGAGGTGTGTCCGGGGCAGGCCCTGAATGATCCGCCAGGGCATCTGGTCTTAATGAAACCGGCAATAAAGAGAAAGCCAAAGCTATAGATAGGTATTGGGTAGGAAACTGGAATGGTGAGAGATTTAGGAAAGTGCCCGAGGGCAGCTGAGAAAATGAGGCAGGACAGTGAGGAAGCATGGGGTCCGGGACATCTATTAGAAGTCTGTGCGGTATGTCTGGTGGGAAGCGGTCGATGTGAGATGCTGGTGAAGTTATGGGTAAGGCCCTCCAGCACACGGAGCGCCCAGGTGCCAGCTCTGGTTCCCATGTTAGCCGTGAGTGTGACCCGGGCCAGTAAAATAAGCAGGTAGAACAGGTAAGTGCTTCTTAAATACCAGTCGCCACCACCACAGGTTGCTGCCTGGAAAGCTTATAAAAATACAGATTCCCAGACCCCAGATTCCTTCCCTCCAGATCCTCTGGAACAAGTGGTCTAATTACCAGTATTTACATTCAATACGTACTTACTTGGAGAGCGTCTACACTGGGCCAGCCAGTGTGCTTCCGAAAGGGAATAAATACTAAGCACAAAGCACAGAAGGAAAGAGCAGACGTACAAAAATAACTCATAACACCAACATCTGTGTTTTTTCAGTAACAGTGATTTGATTTTCTAATCTGGGACTGCTGCTGGCTCTATTTTCTGAGCTCGTATGTTTGTATGAAGCGAGGCTGTTTTTTGGTCTTGGTTTTCTTTTTGGCTCACCTCCTCCTATCAGTTTAGGATCCCTGCTTGCTGTGATCCATGTGCCCCCCTCTCTGATCTCCCCACCTGACGCCAACGTGCCAAGATTTCAAAATTTTTGATGGCGACCCAAAGTAAGAAATTTATTTACATCTAAATACATACAAATGAAACCAAAGTTTCAAAAAATAATATTTATCCTTATGTGTAATGCCTTCTGATACTTTCCATTCAATTCTATTATATTTTTTAATGCTGACTGCAATTCTAAGGTGATTCAGGCCTCATGAATGGGTTGCAACTCACAGTTTCATTTGCTTCATCGGAGAAAATCTATCAATGTTAAATTAGTGTGTTTCATTAGAATCACCTGCTGTGCGGAGTCAAGCAAGCCCTACAGAGCTCAAGTTTAAAGGTCTTCAGACCTAGCTGGGAAACCAGTTACATATCTTTAAAGAAATGCAAAACCAACCCAAGCAGTGAAGGTCTTAATGGAGGTTATGATCTTCCAGGAAGAGAAAAATTAGGTAATGACAGGACTGTAAACCCTCAGCCCTGACAGCTGCTGGAAGACTTCACTGGGAGGGCGTTGCCACAGCAACTCCGGTGAGGGGGGCAGGCAAGGGTTCAATGGACATTTTGGCCAAGGATCTCAATGGTCATTAAGAATCCTCAGTCACAGGGGCGTCTGGGTGGTTCAGTTTGTTAAGCGTCTGACTTCAGCTCAGGTTGTGATCTCTGGTTTGTGAGTTTGGGCCCCACGTCAGGCTCAAAGCTGACAGCTCAGAGCCTGGAGCCTGCTTTGGATTCTGTGTCTCTCTTCTCCTCCCCCGCTCACACTCTGTCTCTCTCTCTCTTTCTCTCAAAAATAAACATTAAAAATAAATTTAAAATAAATAAATAAAAAGACCTGTTTAAAAACAAGGAGCCCTCAATCATAATGGATAGACTGTCTAATAAATGATGCGGTGATCATTTGTCATCCACCTGAAAGAAAGGAAAATCATATGTCTATCGCCAAATTAAGGTGAATGAGAAAGGAATGATAATATTTTCCAACAAAGTCAGGATCCTTTTCCCTAAAGGACCAGATGGAACATATCTTCAGCTTTGTGGGTCTTCTAATCTGTCACAACTGTCAACTCCGTCACTGTATGAAAGCAGCACAGATAACAGATGAAAGAGTGAGTCATGTTCCAATAAGCTTCATTTACACACACACACACATACACAAACACACACACACACACCCTAAGAATCCTCAGTCAGAGGCAAAGGCAACCCATGCGACTGCTCAGGCAGGAAGGGGATGCTAAAATGGTACGGGGGGGCGCCTGGGTGGCTTAGTTGGTTAAGCGTCCGACTTTCGCTTAGGTCATGATCTCGTGGTTCGTGGGTTCGGGCCCTGCGTCGGGCTCTGTGCTGACTGCCAGCTCAGAGCCTGGAGCCTGTCTTCGAATTCTGTGACTCCCTCTCTCTCTGACCCTCCTCTGTTCACGCTCTCTCTCTCTCTCCTAGAAATAAATAAAACATTAAAAAAAATAAAATAAAATGGTATGGGCTTCTGTAATGGTACCATTGGCAGGTTGGCATCCTTGACCCCAAGAATTAAGAACAGCTGTTTGTAAAATAAATCCCTAATATTAATCCTTCATACTTGGTAAAACCTATGCATATTTGGTATGCCTATTATTTATTACTGTTTTATTTATACTGTTTACAATGATTCACCTCACAGTTCCAATTTAAAAGACGTAGCTGTATAGACTTGTGACTTGAAATTAAAATCTTAGGAACACAGGAGTTTAATTTCTTCATTTTGCAGGAATTGCCTAATATTCGGGAGAGCTTCGGTTTTTTTTTTTTTTAACCTTCTACTTTGGTAAATTTCAAACACACATAAAAAAGAGAGATCAACATATAATAAAGAAGCTTCAACAATTTTGCACCCATGGCCAGTCTGGTTTCTTCTATGTTCCCACTAAGCTCTCCTTCCCAGCCCCGCCACCCAGGATTACTGGAAACAAATCCCAAATATCATATAATTTACAAATATTGCCACATATCTTCCCAGAAAGGAAACTTTAACCTAACAATAAAAATACTGTCTCACCTTAAAAAAGTGTTTTTAATCCCTTAATGTCATCAGATATCCCAGCAGGACACACATCAATCACCTTCTGTACACACATGTGCACATACACACACACATACACACACACACACACACACACACACTGAAACAAGATTGGAAAAAAATCATACATTGAAGCTGATGATGTGAGTTCTGAGTTTCCTGTAATTTATAGGTATCCTGCCTCCTCCATCCCTCTCTCTCTCTCTCTTTCTCTCTCGATTTGAAATTCTTTGTGGAAGAAACAGACTCACTTGTCCAGTAAAATTTTCCAGAGTCTGAGAATCATTCATTGAATCCTGTGGTTTAGTTTAACATTTCCCACAATGCCTTGGGCAGATTATAAACACAGGCAGTTAGATCTAGAGACTCGGACAGATTCAGTTTCAAAATTTAAACTACACCATAGGTGGTGGTGGTGGTGGTGGTGGTGGTGGTGGTGGTGGTGGTGTGTGTTTCCATCGGGAGGCACATACTGTCTGGGTGTCTGGTGTCTGTATTTTTGCGATATGAGCAGCCACTGAGGAACTACGTGACCATCTGGTCCTTAGGAGACACTGGAGAGTGAGAGCTCTTCGCTCTTGCCTCCGCTATCAGCTGGATCACATCTCTAAAGAGAAACTTCCCCCATGGATGTCCGACTACCTTGAGAGACACTCTTCACAGGAGAGGCAGGATTAATACTTGATTCTTTCTCTCTCTCTCTTTTTTTTAATGTTTTATTTATTTCTAGGAGAGAGAGAGAGAGAGAGAGAGAGAGAGACAGTGTGAGCAGGGGAGGGTCAGAGAGAGAGGGAGTCACAGACTCTGAAACAGGCTCCAGGCTCTGAGCTGGCAGGCAGCACAGAGCCCGTCTATGTCAATATTCTTCATGTAATCCTATCAACAAAGACTTGTTTT